CGTCTGATGCACACTCCATTGCTAGGCCGGACCTAGCTTGTGTCATCGCTATGATTGCTGAAGGTGCGACTCCAGCTTATTCAGTGATTGTGACAGAAACCGAGTTGGTTGTGAATAAATCGATTTATTAAACTATATGAGGAGAGAAGAGAACTCCAGTTACAACTAACAGGTACTTATAATGACTGATCCGCTGCGTGTATCTACTAACTGATGGTTTTCCTCCAGACATCATACTCGCTAACTAGCCACGTATCGTTGGGTGTTACTTGGTTGTAACAGCAATCTTGCGTCCTGATTAGTATTATCGTTTCGTCTAGTTCCATCTTCCACTCCCCGTGCGACCTTATTGTAAACAATCTAAGTATTACGCTTAGGTATCCACCTAAGCTCATACAACGGTCAAACCGTGACAGCGATGAGTTTCTTTATTGTGACAGGTGATAATGTCCGCCACTGATGTTCGCGTCCCATGCAAATGAAGAGTCGTTTACCCTCTTCCGGAGACTCTTGTCCGGCTAGTTATTGTTTCAACAGATTGGCTGGCAGGTCTGGGAGCTTTGCTGCTTTCTGGACTACTGTGGCCCTCAAAGAAGTGTTGTGCTGGCTCGGTTGAATTGTTAGGAGAAGGGGAACGGAGGATTAGCTGCTGGATTAGGAAAGGGTGGAAAATACAGGCTGGTGCACACACGCTATTCATGTACCCTACAATCTCTTCACCTGCCAAGTTTAATAACTTAATGTATCCAAAATAATATCATACTTCACAACATCCATTAGATGATATTATCAATTGTCAGGATGCATATCTAGCATCACCTTCATAGATCACCATTGTCAGTAAGAGTTCACATTTGATACCTACTGACACCCATTTGGCCACAGTGATACGCACTCAGTGTCTATCGTGCCATCACCCAGCGTGAGCGCGCCATCTCCGCGACTCACCATTGCACATGAGCCCACGTAACTCCACCGACAGACAGCAGAGTCATAATTGCTATATACCTTACAGCTCATAACCACAACAAGAAGCAGTCTCCTTGGGCTTTCTTGGCAGCTCATGGAGAGATTTAGTCGCCCTAGGGACAGAGGTTTTTAACTGTATACCTTCTGGGGATGGGTTCTTGCCTTTGGGAATTGCAGCATTGGCGTTACCTACTGCCAACGCTGTCATGGTTGGTGAAATATTTTCAATGAAAGGCGCAACTAGTGACGCGCCATTGGTTCCTGCCTTGGATCTCGCCCAGGTGTGGATGTTTTGCTGAAAATCCTAAGCTAGGCTCTTTCGCTGCTTTCTTTAGCGTTCGGATTGCTGCAAGGCGGCAGCAGTCCCAAGAAGGCTCGGGTGTAAATAGTCGCCTGCGTAACAGCTGGTAAGCCGATTGGTTCCTGTAGCGCATATTGGCCAAAATGAGCCTAGCCTGATATTGGTAGCGCACGATTGATCGACATCAATGCGTGGATATATGATGCCATTCAACAGAATATCAAGGCATCGGCATTTAGTTTGGCAGGGCAGCAGTATTGGACCATACAGCTACAACACATGTGAAGAATCCCATTGGAACCGAGAGGGAGGGACTGTGCCTCAACCACATAGAAAATGTATATATATGTATAGATAGAGACTGAAGTAGTTTTCTCTTCAGAATGATAATTTACATACTATCAACCACATAGTTGCACCAGCGCCTGTTCCTTGATCCGTGACAGACTGGGTCAATTGACGCCGAAGACGACGGCTGGTTGTACGCAGCTATGATGCTGCTTGATCTCTCGGGTTTGGGTACGGGGATAAATGTACTGGTACGCGTGTATGGGATGGATAAATTGGATGATGTGTACATGATGTCTTCCCCATGATAGAAGTTGCTTTGATGATTATTATGTTACAGTTGGGGGAAGCTCGTCCCTTATCGCCTAGCTTGTTTGCTTGTAGACCAATCACATAGCCAGTTTGCAGCACACATTGGTGTGCTGCAACCTGACTAGCCATGCTGTTTGTCCTATATCAATAACCAATCTCTCAAATTGCCACACTACTATATGTAATGCCGTTATGTAGAGACTAGATCTCCATCATGCGCCATAATTCCGTACACCCATAATAACTACATATGCACCAGCTACTAGATCTACTATACTACATAGCTGAGCATAACAATCTTCGAGCCTAGGCTATTTCTACGTCAAGCTTTGCAAAGATTCTTAGCACGCGCCTCAATATCTAGGCAGACTATTATTATTTTTGGTCTCTTCTGTTGGAAATGGAGACACAGAGTGTTGTGGACATTGTCAGGAATGCCTACTGTATAATCTATATATCTGGAGATAACCGGGTCTAGGGTTCTATGATAAAGGTCTAGCCTTTTGGCCCAGTGGTTATTGTTGGAAATACAGTTTCCTGCTCTTCTTTCTGTCAACCAATATGGTTGCATGCATCTTGTCTGAACTTTATTCCTGAGTTCAAGCAGGAGCCCACACTTCTGATCCAATCAGACTCAACGTATGGGTCTGCTTGAATCCCATTCTTCCTGAACAAATCCAGTCCTTGGTTGTCCGTATTTTCTATTGCATGACCCAGTATTCTGAGTCAATGGATAATTCATTTCTGGTCTGGGATCTCACTTCTTTCTGCAGTCGAGTCGGTTCTGGGTAACCTTTCTTCCTTGTAATTCCTCTATATATATCCTAGTACCTGTAGTCTATTAGTCAATGAAGCAAACTGAACTTCTTCTCCGTTCTCAGGCAATCCTTACTCCGAAGTCCTCTCTATACTCTAACAGTTATGCACCTATCTCATGCATAATGTAGGATAGCAACCTCTTGCCTGGCATTCTTGTCTTGATCCACATCTTGATCCGTGTCTCTGCTCTGCCATCTACGTGCCGCTTCTGACAGACGTACAGGCTCTCCATTTTGTCTAGGTTCCCGACACGATCTTGTATGCATTTAAGAGGTTGGAATGGGTAATATGGTAGCGCTTCAGGCTAGCTACTGGATACATGAGTGGCTGTATGGCATGGGCACAAGGAGGTAATTGGGGGTTTTCTATGCCTAGATGGCGCCACACTCGTTTATGCTGTGGCTTAGGCTCTGTGTCGCTTACACTTGTACTTGTAGCGCACAATTCACACTCTTCTAGTCAACTTCTTTCGTTCCATAAATATTGCGTCCATTTCATTGCGCGATATTTCCAACATCTACAGGTGGGATGCCTGCAACAATTTGTGGTATAAAACTTGGAAAGGGCAAACCACCTTGTCGGGCAGAGTGCTCCTTCCCAGGCGCCTAACAAGAATTTTACTGGATCGCTGGAATAAGGAGAGATCTTAGAGGTCGGATTTTACATACGAAAAAGTGCGTGGGGGCCTTGAGTTGACCACAACTGCAGAGTTTGTTTGTTTTTTTGTTTGTAATTTTAAGGTCCTAAGCTACTACAACTGCAGAGTATGTGGACGTTTGTATGGTTAAACCGACGATGGTATGTGGCAAAGTTCCAAGCTCAGAGCGGGCGGCGTATGATCGTGAAAGGTAAGGTCTGTTGCGGAAAAGCTCTTTGGGTTTACGCGTGAAATTCTTGATGGCTAGGAGTTTGTAAGACTGGTGAGCCAGTTGCTACCAGTAGTTATCCATTGCGTCTTTTAAGTGTTTTTGATTCGGCACCCGGCGGCATCTCAAGATAGTGGGGAAACATTAGTCGGTGAAGGAATGGATAAGCTTTCACCAATTCAGGTATCTGCCATTGTATTAGCTAGGCTCCCCTAGTGTCCCGGGATCCTGAACACTATAGCCTGCACAGGAGGCACATATGGTAGTCGGGGGCGCAGGGGCCACTCTCTGGTAAGAGTTTTAATTTGGTTAAAGACATTGTGATACAAGCATACTGGAGATTGGAGATTGGAGCATGCGGTGAGCTACGCCTTGACTGTCTGTTGAGATCCAAAGATTCTTATAGAAGCGTGCAGTCGGGAGGGGCCTCATCAAAGTTATCTTTGTATTTACAATCGTAATGTGCGTCCTGAATACCAATATCACTAGGCCCTTATTGTACACGTATATCTGTATGTTAAGGTCTGTCGTGAACTGTATGTTGTAAACTCCATATGTCTTCAAGCTACTTCTCTACAGAGGTGGTGTGTGCAATGGTTATTCCGAGCCTTGCACGGGGGTACTATGATCCGAATCTGCTGGATCCACAGTAATACAGCACATATCACCTGACTCGGTGCAGGCACAGTCAATATCAGGCTCACGGGTCTATCCTGTGTCACAGGGATCTTAAACAAGCCAGCTCTTCGTTGTTGATAGCCTGTTGCTAGAGGACTCCTCTGTTAAATGAGTCAAATTCTCGAGATTAACTTGGTATCTTGGAATGTGGATAGATGCAGCTAGTAAGTTAAATTGGCTGGATACAAAAATTCAACGAAAAGACAGAAGAATTAGCACTAATCCCTTGACAATCTTGACCTACTCTTCCGACTGAGCGAGACTTGGGAATATGAGGGATGAATGTGTGTTGTTCATGTGAAATGTCGAGACCGGAGAATTCATATTTCTTGGTAATCTTTCGAAAGATCCTTTCTACATCTCACATCCTTAACACGAGGATGGTCGTTGGGTCAATTGGTTTGGATCAGGCCCAGGACATGCATATTGCCTAAGGAAATTTGCTCAGCCAGCAAGCTTGAGCCTGGCCATATTACTAACATTCTTATTCATACTCTTTCAGTTATCACAGTTTACAGCGCTTTAGGATTATTCCATTGACGTATACTAAATTTAGACTCTTTGGCTGCTCTCAAATTATTGATAATGAAAATAGTAGTATTTAATGGACTGATACCTCTCAGTTCATCTCATTTCATCACACCTCGTGCCTGTGGGAAAGAAAGCATCCCATATTCAATTCCAGCTCTCTTTCAAACCTCAGCTGCTAAAAAACACTCTTTCTACAGATCGTCGTAAGAGGAAATTTCCCAAAAGTCACCGTCATCATGAAATTCCTATACTCTGCTATATCTGCTTCTATGCTGGGCCTATTTGCCACAGCTTCTTCACATATAATGTTCTCCTGCCCAAGTGGTTATCAAATACTTGAAAGTGATGTATTAGCCGCAGCCCGAAATATCGATCCTAAAGCAAAAATATACGAAAGCTCAGCAAGCAGTACCGGTGACGCTCAGTACAAGTTTCAGCTTGGGGTCGAGACCTATAATAATGGTCTGTCAACCCTCCCCTCTACAATAACACACGGCTACTAACACTTTGTTAAGTTTTATACTTATTCTCAGCTATAATTTATTCACGAGATATGACAGTCAGGGTATTACAGACTGGATATAAATCTCGAAAGGAAAAATACTGCGATCTCATCGAAGTAGGTGATGTCTAATAACCTTAAGTGTAATCTTCTACAACTCAATAAGCCTTAAAACATTTTAAAAGAATTAGACGGATGTCAATTGTAGGCTTAGCTTCGAATTATTCGGATCCAGATAAGTAGTGGATGGTAAGAACAACTGAAATTATGCAAGACTCGGAGTCAGGTTGAGTAGGAGTGCATTACAACTCATGCTCTGTGATTCAAGTAGTTAGGAATCCTACAGCCAAATTCAAAATCACAGGTTCAAAGATTCGATACCTATCAGTAGTGTTCTCTGCAACTCTCAAGCTCTCACTTTGTAGATCCCAATGGAACTGATATTGTGTCATAGCTAGATAACTGCATACGCAATTCGAATCTTTTACAGTAAAAAAGTTACTAATTGATGGCAAACCGACCCTGTACATTGTGCGCCGTTGATGGGCTCCCTATTTTTTAAATCATTTAATGTGTATTCAGCTATCTAGCTATGACACATGATCGGTGCTATGTATACATGTAGGGTGACTCTTTTGACGTTAGAGACACTCATACTCTGAATTTCATTCGCAAATACCACTTTGAGGTGTGTTTGCTTACACAAACAGTCGACCCTTTTCCGTGAGTACCCACCAAAGGGACGTTTCAAAACCTTTGATTATCCAAGTATACCTTTGTCATCCATGTATACCAGCGCCGCAATGAATTTTTTTATGTTTTGCCGGATTTGAACCAGCGATCTCCTGTCTCGAATGGGATAAGTGTCCAAGCTATCCAGACTTTACTTGGCAGACCGGTCAAAACGATGTACCACCGCACCATCTAACCATGGCGGTGTCTATAGTGTTGCCTGCACTCTTGCAACTGAAGACTTGGCACGCACAAAGCTCAATTTGTAAAAACTCCTTGCCAAAATTCGAAATTTCACGCCCTTCGTGAATGTATCCCTCCTTCGCATCATCTCGTGAACTTGTTCTGAATCCTCTCACGTCCATCCAAAAGAACAGATTGTTAAAGATTTAATCTGTCCATAACTCTGAGCTTGATGATGGCCAGCAAGACGAAGAATATCATGACCTGTCATTTAAGATAAAAGGGCGAAAAGGCCATTAATTAGGAGATAGGACCAATATAGTAAGGGGTGATTAGCCCAGAGTAGGTATGGGCATTGTGAATGTAGTCGGAAGCATCGTCATACAAAGAGGAGTAAAGTGCGCGATATATATGTACACGTGCCCTATCCCTGTCACTAATTACCAAACCCCGCACTGCCATAAACACCATCAATCTCTGCTATCCATCGCAATCCTGAATATCAATATGAGTTACTAATATACGGTATGTTTGTACGGGTCGAAATCAAGATAGAAATGTTAAGACAGTCTCCCAGATTTTTGAACCACGCTTTGTGTCCTTGTTATAGTCTGTCAAGTGATCCTAGATCTGTGCAGATTAATGCACGCCAATATTTCGTGCAAGTCCAAGGACATGGACTTGAGGGCAACCCATAACTGGGGCATCATAGATTTGTAATGGAATAGTATGGGATCGAATAGTATGGAACAGAATGGAAAGGAAAGTACTGGATAGTGTAGGAACTGTGATGTGGCTATCCAGGACATGTATATTATGAGATGTACCTCCTAACAGTAGGAGCAAGTAAAAAGTCATCTTAACACAAGCGGTCGTCACTTAACACAAGTCTTTTCAATATCTACGTTGGTGTTCTACGAACACATATAGCATCCTTCCAAGGTAGAGATTCAACCTGTATGAGCTCATAATCTTAACAGTCCTCCGTCGGGAGTGAATATCGGTGTGGGCGTGTATTTGGTGACCAGCTGAGGCCAGAGAAGGTCGAAGAGAGGTGTTATCATTGGGATTAGGATGTACTAGGTCTTACTTGTAGACTTGATGAGACTTAGGTAGGCGTCAAACTCGTTGGGAGCAGAAAAACGACGTGGTGGAGTAATTTTAAAATTTGCCTCGTGGGCCAACTTCTTCGGTATTGGGAAATTTGACTGAACTTACCTCTGGGATAATATTTCACTCCCAGGTTCGTAGAGGACAACGCGTACGGATGTTTAGTCTTTGCCCTCCTCACCATAGCTCCAAATGACCGATTTTCTGCCTTTCTCAATGTTTCTCCTCTTCCTTTAGCACAGCTTATACAGGCCATGACCATTTGCTTCACATTTTGAGACGGATATCCACATTGGCATCGTGTTTTATCTACTCCTGGAACTTTTCTTCAGTGCAGATAGGAATTAAACCTGATGTGGATCTCGGTCGATCACATTTGAAACAGTATGGTGACAAATATAACTCGTGGCTCTACTATAACCAATTCCACAGAATATAATTGTAAAGAATGAGTTCTAATAATTTTGTCTATATCACTTACCGACGACCATCTCCAAAGTCTACACTTTGTGCGAAGCTTACTAATCGTACTCTAACTGCATTTGATGGTCTATGTTACGTTACGTAGCATGCTTCGTTCGGAATCCACACTGATTTGTTTGCTTCTTATCTGCATGGCTAATCTCGCTTCTATTTATGATGTCCAGTCCAGATCCTGACATTTCACAAGGCATACAAATATATTTCTGGTTACGCAACTAGTGATGTAGGCGGTGAGAATTGGATCAACGCACAAAAGTGCATTTAGCATGTGTAAACATCATTTAAACATGTACATACCCCAAGTCGAGTTCCAACATTATTAGTAGTTCATTTTAATGTCCTGTCTGAGTCTATGACTATGTAGGTGATGCAGGTCCTCTATGCCTACAGGCCAAGGATACCTATACCAGTAGTATATCCCCTCCTATGCCTCCCATACAGCTCCCGTCAAACAGTACCAACCCTCACAAGTCCTCATTCGATCATACACTCAGAGGAGCCTTTTGCCCTTCCTTATTTCTCCCTGCAGCCAATGAAACGATGGCCCTTTGCGGGTGTATGGCAGCCGGGAAAATTTTCAAAAACCACTGCGTGCGGGGCTCTCCTCATACCGACATTAGGACTAAATCCGAAGACATAGTGCCCCTTCCGAAGCGTTCAAAGAGGCCGGCCAGCTGGGCGCTGCAGGCTTGTGAGTACCTCAGGAAATTCACACTCTGCCTTTCTAGCCTCCTTCCAACTCCTTCCCGAAGGTCGTGCTGAAATGTCAGAAAAGTCTTGACAGAGCGTGATTGCTGTATAGTAGCTTAGCCAACCTTCTTTTGTGCCGTCCAGGGCGCTGGGAAGTGCCGTTGGCTCATCGATAAAAGAAGCCTTCCTAGGTCATTAGCCGAAATCTTGGCCTTGGCGCCCACAAGAAAATCCAAAGTTGAAAACCCCTCAAAAATGTCAGTCCCAGCATCATCTTCAAAAACCTGATCCCCCAATCGTTCCACATCTCAGCCGCTTGTTCTTTCTCAAGTGGTTTGTCCCATTAGAGCAACAGTCCCCCATAAGCCAAGACCCAGGCTTTGTATTTTTCGACTTGATTTCCTCCTTGCGGGTATAAATAGCGTCGTAAATATATAGTAAGAGATGGCTGGAAACTAATGGGGCAAGCTCCTGTCTGCAATTGGAGCAACTTCTTTATTGGTCGTCGGTGTGAGATGATGTGTGGTTAGAGAGGTTGAGGACTCAAATGAGTCAGGTAAGAGAAGCATTATCGAGAAGTCATAAAGTGGAGAAGTTGACATGTTTGCTATTGACTTCGATTCGGATGCGATTCTACTTGGCTACCCCAAATATGCAGAGCATACTGAGCAAATTACACCAGCACCTTACTCTACATGTCTAGCCTGTTCAAACAAAAAATAATCAAAAGGGTAATACCCCTAATGCTTGATATTTAAAACCAAGCTTACAATTCACAGCATAGAGTAGTACACTATTATCATCCATCATCTATCGACCAAAATTATCTAATACCTCCGTTACCATTATACTTAGACTTCAATCTCCATTTTCACGTCCACCATGTTTACAATATGTTACGATTGACGAGATTCTGAAATCCAGAAATCTCTTCTCTCGAATGTTCCGTATCAAAGACTGGTTGGAGTCAACATCACTTGTCTTGGAACCGTTCAAGCTGCTAGCTAGAATAATATTAGACAACGCTACCAACCTCGAAATTTGGCATTGTCTCATTCAACTTGTGGACGCCATTGAGTATAGTATCAAACTACCCGTTGATCAATCAAAGAAATTAGCTGCAACCTCGATCTATAGGCGTGCCAGAGTACCACTCGATCGAGCCGGAAAGACAGTGGAAAAACTCAAGAAATCAATGCGCCATGAACTTTCTGGATCGGTAATCATGAATGTGAAAGGATTCTGGAAAAAGTATTTCAAAAATCCAATATGGTAAAAGCATTACGCAGCTCTCTCGAAAAAGTATAAGGCTCGCTCGGGGGAAGAGAAGCTGAAATTTCCCCAGAACCCTGCGAAAGCAGATGTCTGGATATGGATGAAGGCTGTGGAAGAGGAAATAATCAATTCTTCCACCAATACCCTAAATATATCATTAAAGAAGAAACGAGAGCCAGTTAAAAGTAGGTTCATGCACACAATTGAAGCAACACAATATAATACGCTCACCAAAGGACAAATCTAAGGAGGTCAAACCAACCGACAGCTTGATTATTTCATAAAGCGAAATAATCTCCCTAATAGTGACGGCTATCACTGGCGCGACGTACTTGTGGTAGGAGAGCTGACGAAGCTACCAACGTTAGCGTATTTGGATAAGCTTCTCCGGCTTTGTGTGTACATGAGTCAAGTCTTCTTGGCCCAGCCATTACGGCATTTTGTTCACGGGTTCATACTTTTTGGGACTCAACTTCAGCTTTGGGTATTCGATCGGTCAGGTCCTTACTGTGAGTCGATCATTGATATTGGGAAATTCCCGAAAAAACTAGTCCACGTGCTGGCTGCTTACATGATGATGAGCGACAAAGAGCACGGGATCGACTCAAACATCCGATATGACGATGACGAGATCATCATCAAGATGAAGATTCCAGGGT